CACCTTTCTAGACAGAATCACAAAGTGCTGCACATAAGATAACAAATAATAAAAGGGTAAAACAGACAATATAAAAATATCTATCTATCTACAGACTGTAATTTTGTAGGATTATCAGAGTTGCAATATATGTTTTTACTTATTGCTTGTTTACTTCTTTTAATATTTTGTCATTTTTAAAATGAACTTGAGTTCTCTTAGCAAAATATTTACTATATAAAGTCTTGATGTCTTTGTGACATGTAGCTTTATACCTTGTTTATACATGCGGGTAATCAACTTGTAATCTGCAAAGTGACTCTGGAGTTACTCTCATTTCCCATCTTTCTAATTTACCAACAGCACTTTTTTAACAACACGCTGCTTGGGACTTATCTGGTGCAATCGAAGCAGAGGGCAGGGAAAGATATGACATACATATTATGATGAAATGAAAAAGATTGGGACGAGCATCCTATGTGTGCTCCAACTTCTTTCAGCATAACTTCATTTGCATCAGGCTCCAAGGGGCGTTGACCCTTGCTGAGAGAGGAATCATTTCATTTTTTCTGGCTGGTCTGTTGGTTTTTGGCAGCTGTAATCTGCAGCTGAACAGTCCAGCTTCACTGTATCACAGTTACAGTAATATCACAATACATAGTAACAAACAACACTGCTAAGCTACAGGTTTTAAAGGGTCGGACACAAAAAAAAAAGAGAGACTTGATCTTAACTTCTGAATAGTTTTCAATCCATTGTTTATTTACTTCTCCAACTACAAAATAAAACTCTCAAAGGCATGAAATTACATACAACGTATATATACTCCTGGCATTATGCTTCATAAACATGCTGCTGAAACAGTAGTATACTTTATTGAACACCAACACACGTTCGGAATTCACAGAGGACTCGTTTGGCGTTTCCAACACGGCCACAAAACAGACAACTATTCTAAACAGTTTGTTGAAAGTTAAGTTGACTTTGAGGCCTATAATAATGGGTTAAGACATTTTTTACTTAACTTTTTCACATGATTTTTCCAGAACTTTTCTGCTGACTGCAAGCAAGGGAGTAGTCCCTAAATCACACCACTGTGGTCAGTGAGATGCCTCTTA